GATTAGTAGGTTGTTAAGTTTGATTGACACTCCAGAAAGTTCCATTGTTTTAAATTTTAAGCTAACCTTTCATTAATTATTCATTCATTATTCTTTATTTCAGACTTTACATCCATTGTCAACTTAACTAATAATAATATAAATACAAGGGAAAAAAACCCCACATGATCCTTAGAAATTATGGATTAACATAAAGAAGTTCGTTCCATCTTTTTGAGAGCCTAGAACTTCCAAAAAATCCATTTACAGAACGAACTAAAGGGTTCACACAAGTAGAAAATCGCTTTAAAAAGCTAAAGATTGATTTTCTCATAAATTCTTGGAAAGATAATAAATTATTATTAACAAATAGTGCATTAGCACTACAGTATCTCGGTTGCCGTAACAGTTTTCTTAAAATATTGTTATAACATACTCTCAGTGTGTTCATAGATGAAAGCCTATACATAGACCAGAGCGTGGAACAATAAAAACTCATACAGAAAGAACGAAATAATATACACTTGACTTCATCACTGCACTTGCTAAATTTTCTACAGATTACATTTCCTATAACATATTTCCTTACATATACTCAGTGATCTAACTTATTGTCTTTTGATATCAAGCTCATCATTGAGGTCACAGCATATTATGTGACCAAGATATGATACGGATTCAACATATTTGAGGTTTTTGTTATTGAGATATGTTTTTTTGCGTACTACAAGACTTCATACTTTTAGGGATAAACCTCATACACACTGATTTCTTGTCATTGTATAATGTATACAACCTATTATAAACAAAGAATTTAAAATATGATTGTTCCAATAAAACAATAGAGAGTTTCTAAATTATCCTTCTTAATTTCAGTCTGTTCTAGAAAAATGACCTTATTCCATGATGAAAGCATATCTGGGATTTATGTAGACAGACAATTAAAAAGTGAGTCTAGAATGTCATACTGAAGAACTAATACTTGTAGTACAATAGGTCGGTTAATGAAGAAAGACTTGATGTGTATATGATAGGATAAAATCAATACCAGGTCCTAGCATAACTAAAGAATTATTGAATTGAATAGAGGAAAATAACTGAATCAATTATTAATCCTATAAATAATTTCAATATTGTGTAATTTTATGACATAAAAGTAGAACAGAATGATTTTGTGACTGGTTGATAGATACAGTAGATCTCTTCTCATGTTTTTATGCATTTTATTGTGTTACTAATATGATATAGCATATTTATTCATATAAACAACTTGCTTTGAATAAACGCACCCTTGAATAAACTCCTCCTCCTGAGCCTCAATTGAAATAAATGCCCAGGGGGTTTATTTTTTCATTGAAGAAATGCCCCTTCAAACGATTATAATCAAAAATAAGGAAAGCAACATCATTCTCAACACATATTATGTTCTAATCCAGTAAAAGAATTAATTACATTTTTTATTACCTGGTTGGGATTAATAAGTTTTTATGGTCACACAATAATACAGTTTGATGGTAATTTTCTATAAATTAAGTGGTGTTTATTTGAGTATATAATACGTATACATTTTACAAAAAAATATATAAATGCCTCCCTCGAATAAATACCTTCATTAAATAAACGCCCCCTCAAAAACCCCTCTCGACAATAAATGCCCTTGGATGAATAAATATGGTAAATCTCTTTACTCTGGTTTTATATGGTAGATTAGCATTTCCTTAGAACTTGATATTTATATATACAAAAACAGTTTACTTATTATATATTTATTATATTAGCAACATATTGATTTATTTCATAGAGTACAAAGTAGGAGTTTACACAGTTATTTTTTACTGTATATTTACTATTTACTGTCTGTTACTGTAAATACTATACTAAATCAACAATTCCCTTACTTCCCCTCAAAAAAACCCTTCTCAAATGTCCCCAGGGGCGATTGTTCAAATAATGGTATATATGTCTTCAAAAAACTTACTCTTGTTTTTATGTATGGAAGATAAAATAAAGTAAATTCTTAGAATCATATTAGTAACACAATAAAATGCATAAAAACATGAGAAGAGATCTACTGTATCTATCAACCAGTCACAAAATCATAAATATACAAAAAGAATTTAGTAATATGATATAACAACATCATTATATTCATATTGTACAAGGAGGGATAAGGAAATAGAGTTTACACAATTATTTTTTTACTGTGTATTTACTATTTTCTATGTACTATGTGTTAAATATATATCCTCCATGGTTAAATGTACACTAAAATCAATAATTCCCTCAAATAAACTCCCCTCAAAAAACCCTTCTCAACAATAAATGCCCAGGGACGATTGTTCAAATAAATATGGTATATCTTCAAAAAATTTACTCTTGTTTTTACAGTATGTATGGAAGATTAGTAAATTCTTAGAACTTCATATTAAGTATTCAAAAAGAATTTACTAATATGGTATAACAACATATTGATTAAATTCATATTGTACAAGGTAGGAGGGAGAAGCAAATAGATTTTACACAATTATTTTTTTTTACTGTGTATTTACTGTCCCTATGTACTGTGTGTTAAATACACTAAATCAATAATTCCCTCAAATAAACTCCCCTCAAAAAAACCCTTCTCAACAATAAATGAATGCCCCGTTGCGTTTGTTCAAATATTGTAAATACAGTATCTCTTTTAAAACAAAGTTACTCTGGTTTCTATGTATGGAAGATTAGTAAATTCTTAGAACTTGGTATTTATATAAAAAAAGAATTTACTATATACGATATTTATAGTAATAAAATATTGACTTCATTCAGTGTAAAAGTAGCTACTGGCGCCCAGCATATGACACCGGGGTTTCTGCGTGTACACAGTTGTGGTGGTGACGCCATCTCAACACCAGGAGTGCGCATTTTCCTTCCCTTTCATGTTCGCAGTTTGTGTAATACCATTTTTTTCTTGTGTCAGTCCTTTTTCTCTGTGCTTTCTTGCTTGTTGCATTGTAATAATATTTTATCTTTTAATAATTTTGTATTTTGTACATTTTGTAAATCTGCTTGCAATTTAGTTATATTTTACTGCTATGAGTTTTGATGAATGAATTTTTGGCCACCATCTCACTTCATTACCTTAATGGCTATTATGTATTTATTTTTAAAATTTTATTTATTTTTTCTGATTTCTATATGATTTGTGGTCTGAATACTGTCAGCGCCATGAAACAATTTTATTGTGAAAGGCGCCCTAGAAATATCCTATATTTACCAATACAAGGAAAAAGCAACAGAGTTTACTTTACTCTTTTACTGTGTATTTACTGTTCCTATGTACTGTGTGTTAATATATTAAAATCAATAATTATTCAGTTGTCAGGGATACGAAAATATTCAGTGCAACATCTGTTGCTTCTTTATATTAGATTTAATTATTGGTTTTATGTGCTCTGTGTGGATTTTGTACATAATAGCTGGCAGTACAAAAGAGATAGCCACACATTCTCTGTAATACAAATTTACATTTTGAATGCATGGTAGAAAAGGCAGACTATATGTCTTTGATTAAAAAAATGAGATACATTCAGCATTGTTTTAGTTTAATATAATTTAGTAGGCCATCTTTTTTTTTTAATTCCTTCACATCCAACAGCAAGTACACTTGCCACTTACAGGATGGAATGCTTTATAAACCAACTCTCTTTATGAGGCTTAGGGATTGGAGTCATTTTTAGTCATGAGAAAAGTTCCTGTCATAGGAATTGAACCCAGAACCCTGGAATTAGATGTCGAGCATCTTAACCACTAAGTTATTCATCATAACTTGAAGATAATGAAGTTAAAATAATATGTATTCTAATGTCATTAGGCCTATATTAAGCTTAGTAGTAAATAAAAAGGATCTGAAGAATTTGTTGTGATAAGCTCCACTGGCATTCTAATTTTTCAAATTTAACCCTACACAGCTCCCCCTAAATACCACACACCTGCACCTCCTCCGAAAACACACATTTTATAATCATGGTTCTCAATAAAAAAATTGGCGCATACCATTACACCATTACAAGACACTTTCTTATACTGTGGTTGTTAATAATTGTAAATTTTTTACTTCTTGATTTTTTTCTGCAATTTATGGCAACAGCAGCCGCAAGGTCAATGCCGAGGGCAGTATTTAATTGAGCATTCTAGAAAACAGTAGTAATGGGTGCCACCTAGATTGCGTGGCAAGTCTTTTAAATTGACATCATTGGAAGATAGGTGACTTATATCAGAACTTAGCACCACTAGGGTTCATAAACACAAACTGATAAAGAAATATGTTTGATTAAATTGCCAAAGTATTTTTTTACTCAACGTACAATATGATACATGGAATGCTCTCGCCAGTACGGTTGAAACTAATACAGAATCAGATTTAAACAACAGTTTGAGAAGACAAGAGGGGCTACCAGATGGCCCCACTGACCAGCTCTTGCACCACCCGTTTAGAAAATGGTGATGTAGGGTGAGTTATGGTGGGTGAGTGCGATCATTGACATTCACCATTATTGCAGAAAAATTATACAAAACCTTAAAACTATGATTAATCAGAATAGACATTAATAAAATATATTAAAGTTTACTGAGGTCATTTGACACTGATTTGCAATGGCAAGAAATGGCCTTACTGGTCTGTGGTAGTCTACAGACATCAGAGTATTTTTAGCAGTGGTGGCGCCAGCGGTGAACAAATAAGCAAATAAATAGGCAAATAAGAAAACAAAATTTTATTTATTTTATTTAATTTTATTCCGACCTCTTCCGATGATCTTTAAAAAAAAAAAGTAGGCCTTCACGAAACAAGGAATAAAAAAAGTCTCTTCCGTCTTTAGAAAATAAAAAAATACGGATATTCAGGTCTATCTACAAGAATGAAGTGACCTGCATATTTTTCTCATCTAGGCCTACAGAGAAGAATAACACCGGGAAAACTGGCCAGAGAAAGTTAATAGGAAGATCTAGCTTACGAAATTGTGAAGTGAGTAAATACTTACAAGGAGGTATCAATGCTCCAAATACCAAGAAGATGAAGTAATGTGGCAAGCACTGCCAGCGGACAGTTTGTTTAAAGAAAGCCATATTACTTTCCTTCATGATGTCAGTAAAAAGAGAGTAGCTGCATCTTCTTGGTTAATAATATAGTAGTCCCGTCGATTCCGATTGATGAAGGCTGCATTTTTACATCTTTTTTAGGTTTACACCCGGCGTCTTGATGTCAAAAGGTGAGAAGAGCACATCACAGTCTTGTGTTACGTGCACAATTTAGTTCCATCAAGTTTTGGACATTTAACGGCAATGTCAACAATGGGTCTTCAATCTGAAGCGTTATTTTTTAGATCACCTTCAACGAACAAGGTGACGGTATAGAAATTGCTTTCTTTTATCTAGTTCCTCTTGATACCACAACCAACAGCCTACTTTATCAACCAGCATTAACGAACTGAGCGGATTCAGTCAGTCAGTTGTGAGCATTGTGATGTGAGTCAGTTGTCAAATGGGAAAATGTATGCTTTGCGACCACACACACGCCCTCTCATGGCCACATTCGCCAAACAGTAACTTGTTGAACTTGTTGTAGGTGGTAGAACCACCTCACCACCTCCTTGCGAC